CCATCTGTCACTGTGCCTCAGCGTTATTATTTATTATTTCAGTAGTGCTCTGAGGATGCATGCTCCCTTTACCTAGGTCTATCGCCAGATGGAAAACAGACAACTGAGAATTGCCTGGAGAGTTCGGCCTGCAAACCCTGGGATGCTCTACAGCAGCACCAACATACATCACCCAAATGGTCCAGTGCGCCTCCAGGGATGCAGGGAGCGAGAATGCCTCTCGGCACAGAAATTACTGGGAAGGCAATTAGAAACAGATTATGGGAAAGTGGGAATTAGTGGGCAGACACCTGCATTTGGAAGGTGTTGTAAGAGATGTGAAATCCTTCCAACAGGCACATTCCTCCAATCATTGCTGAGACTTTCTGGCCCAGAGGACATTCCACTTTCAATTTCTCTTTCCTGTAGTACATCAAGTATGTTGTCTCCACGGTGAATTTTCAAATATAAATCAGAAGGTGCAGCTTCCCATGTGAACCCCACAGAAGGAAACTGAGCTCCTTGCTGGCCATGCAGGGCCCTCCTCAGCCATCTCTGCTTCCCGCCCTCTCTGCATCCCATCTGTGATATCTGTTTCTAGCTCTCTCTAAAGTACCAGGCTGTCCCACCGAGCCTCCTGTCCCATTACGCTGACCATAAACCACACTGACTTGTCCTCTGAGACGTCACTTCACACTGGTCATTCTTCAGGGTTTCTCTGATAACCCCAAGCAGAATTTTTCATTATAGTGTCACCCCACACCTTTTGCAGGCCACCACTATGGCATTTCCACAAAATACGAAAGGCCTCTCGCTGAGATCACACTGTCTATACGGTCACTATTTATATCTGCAAATATATTTTCCCGCAAGTCTCTATGGGAACAGCAGAAGTGCTACAGCGAATCTGCTGTGTGCTGAGATGTAAGAGTCCGTGAGTCCTGCAGCAGGGGGAGAGGCCAAGGCACCCTGGCCCTGTCATCCTTTTGGGTGAAATCTTGGCTGGCATTATCTGCCTACAGCACATCACCAACTTCTTCTTTCCTACCGCCTTCTCCCCTTAGCCTCTTAGGGGCTCTGGACTCGAGTCTACCAACCTGGGTCTACTGGTCCTTTTCACCAATTCTAACCCACACTGTCTGGTCCCCTCCACAGCCCCCACTTCCCTAAAACAGTTAAACGTTTCTGAATTTAGGAGGCATCTTATGACTGATGTCTCAATTACCAGTTTACATCTTAAAACAGTAATTAGCAGCATGCTTTCATTTTTAGGGACTTGTAAAGTGATATTGCCGTTTACAACTGATGACAGCAATTCAATATGGTAGACAAAACTTTAACATATTAGTTCTTTAGTTTCTTAAATATATTTCTTTACATAAGAGCGTGTATACCCATTTCTGTTAGGTCATAGAGAACATCTGCCAGTGTATTTAATCAGTTCAGATTACTGAGTGTTAGTGTGTAAAATGCTGTCTACAGAAACACCCAATACTTTGTTAACTAGTGTTAGAGTGATGAGCAATAGCTAGAGAAGCTGGCTGAAGCTGCCATAATACATTAGTAGTTTCTTGCTGAATAAGGGAAATACAGGCTCCTACTTTGCAAAAATATGTTCTCTATTAAGTTCTCGGGAACTGACTGGAAGCAAATGCTGGGGAGTCGCCCGCTACAGTAGCCTGTTCCCAAGTGGCCATCTATTCTCTGAGGACAGGGTTTCTGGTCCTTCTGTCCCTTCCCCTAGAGCAGTGACCAATTCACTGTGAGGGTCATTACATGTTAGCCAAGTGATGGAAACAAGCCAGGCACCCACAGACAGATGAATTCATTAGAAAGATGTCTGCATCCGCGCAGTGGATCCCTACTCAGCCATAAGAAAAGATAAACTTGCCATATGCAGCAACACGGATGGGGCTGGAGGGCATGATGCTAACCAAAGTAAACCAGAAGGAGAAGGACAAATGCTGGGTGGCCTCCCTGATGGCACAAGGTCTCAGCACTATCAACAATCGCCAGCCACTGCAGCACGAGTTCGATGCCCAGCCAAGGAGTGACCCACATGGCACAGCAGAGCTCTCCGATCTGCCTGCCACTCCCCTCAGCAGTGGATTTCAGATAACCTGACTGCTCTGCTCCCACCTCTGTCTCTTGTGACTCCTCTCACCCTTCCGCCCCCCTGCACCTCTGGTCTACTCCCCAGTTCTTGCATGCATAAATAAATAGCATAAATCTTTTTTAAAAATCCAACAAAAACTCTAGAGATCTGACTACTGAATTGTGACTACAAGACAGAGGCAGGGCAGAGAATAAAGTCTGGAGGGGACCCAATGAATGATGGGGCAGGATTGTGGGTGTCCTGGCAGTGGGTGAGGTGTGGTGACATACATCGGAGGAGGTGTGATCCTATCCCTCTAAATAGCATAATATGTTGTAAACCAATGTTAATTCAATGAAAACTAAATGTCTCAGTGATTCAAAGGAAACTTCCAAATTGTGCTTGTGTTTAAGAATATAACTCATATTTATATTACACATCCATCTTAACCATCTTATTAGTATCTTAAATATGTATTCATGCATTGTTTAATAAGTTAAACCACTAGATTGATAAAATTAATGGGCAATCATAGAAAGCCTCTTTCTAGTACTTTTGTATTAGTATGGAAAATGTACTGTATTTCAGTACTTTTGTTTTGAAAAGTAAAGTTTCTGGGCTTGGTTTGTAGATAATTTTATAAACTAGGCATTATTAGATCACATTAGCTTAAGCACTAAGTATGAATTTTAGGGGTAATGTGACATTACCAAACCAGGCGAGGAATAATTTTAGAGAGCTGTGAATGATGGATAGGCACTATATAATGGCTGACTTCGAGAAATGTTTTATTTGGGCTGAAATGGTGTTATGCAAGGAACACATCCTTCAAAAAATGAAAGACTAGCAGCCCTAAATTTAGACATATTATACATCAAGTCACACTTACCCTTCCATACTGAAGGCATATGACATACTGGTATTACTTAATAACTAAATGTGACTGTTTCTTAGAAATATTTTAGTTGGAAATCAGTGCATATTAAACATTTAATATTTTAACAGCAAAAATATACAACTGTGTTCCAGACGATGCGACACATAAACTGAGTGTCTACCTGATGCTTAGATCAGAACTCGACACACACACGCACATATCCACAATATTCCCATGTAAACAGGAAAAACACTGGTCCTGTTGTGTATAAGCAGCACATAATTGCAAATTGTTCTGGTCAAAGAGGGTAAAAATTGAGTGTTGTTGATAAATGAATCAAAGTAGAAAAAAATAAAGTTATTTCATGAAAAATAGGTTTTGGCAGACAAGTTCTTCATAGTTCCTCTTTAATCTCTCATAGAGCTATTGACAAGATTCGAATTTGAGCCACAAGAGATCCTGTAAAAGGCATCACCCCTGTGTGGACTGATGTACTTTATTATGATATGACTTATATACATGCCATGTGTAGTCATTGCTCACATCACTGTACAACCAAAGCACATTATACAAAAATGCAAATCAATAAAATTCAAATTAGAAACATAATTTTACTGTAACAAATGATTTTCCTGCTTGAACTAAGCTGGATCAAAAGTTTAGCTGTTGGGTGCTTTTTGTCCCAGCCTTTTAATTGTCAACTAAAAAATCGTATGTCTCTAAAGTACACATCTGGATGACTAATGTACTAATACAACTCAACCACAATAGTAGCTTAATGTTTTTGAAAGGGCAAAGGACCTGAATAGACATTTCTCAAAAGAAGACACAGAAACACCCAACAAATACATGAAAGGTGTTCAATTTCAGTAATCATTGGGGAAATGCAAATCAAAATCATGAAGAAAATGGTGTCACTTCTACTAGACTAGGGTCAGACTACTGTAGAACGCAGAGTGAATTCCATACACAAACATGGACAAGCCTGATATCAAAACCTGACAATGGTTAAACAGAATTTAAAACAAGGACTATTAAAACAAGGACTAGAATAACAGACAAATTTCGCATTAATACAGAGTCAAACTATGTCACTACCCATTCAAAATGATTTTTCCAGGGATATAGGATGGGCCAAGACTATAATAGCTAAGAAAAAAAAAAAAAGCATCCAATAAAATTTAAAAGTTATTCCTGACACCATTTTCAAAAATTGTTTATTTTCTTAACCTGATAAAATATATGTCATTTCAGCCCAAATTCTTCATATTACTGAATGAGGAAACAGTAGAAGTCCCTTGATAAACCAGGGACTCACTGTTTCAATATTATTTACAATGTTGTGGGCAAACATTAACTGATCCAACTAAACCAATGAAAACATGTAGAAATAAGAATTAGAAGGAAAGACAAACCTATCATTATTTGCATAGGATACGATGGCATGGAAATACCAAAAGAATGAGTGGGAAAACTACTACAACTAATATAGGAACTCAGCAAATTTAGTAAAGTAGCAGGCTGTAACAGAACATCTGGAGTTCAAGAGCCTTTATTAATACATCATGGAAAATTAAGATGTCACACCAAAGGTAAAGTAAACTACCAGGGTGTAAATATGAGATAAAACATGCAAAATCTATTTGAGAAGAACTAGAAAACACTCCCCTACGATACAACAGAACACTGGGAAGAAGGCGAAGGCTGCCCAAAATCTGGGCTAGGAAGAACTGCGTTGGCCAGGAACACCCACCAGCAAAGACCGTTAAATACGAGCAGCTTCCACCTCAACAGGTTAAGGACCCCAGCACACACAGAGTGCCCAAATTTTTATCAAAATATAACCTGAAAGTGGCCTTTATATACATAACATCAGCCTCAACCTCACTCTCAAAAGAGATATGCAAATTAAAACTTACACCGAGTCACCATTCCCCACTCATCAGCCGTGCTGTGCTTGACCAACGGGCATAGGGCAAAGCTACTAAGCTGACTTAGAAGCTAACGCATGGTGGTTATTAGCTCCAATCAAGAAGCGCACGTACTCACCCTGACGATGCCTCGGATGTGCATCTTCGCTATCATCTCGGCCGTGTAGAGGAACATGAGCAGCGTATCCAGAGTGAAGGTCACGTACTGGAGCGGAGGGTAGTGCTCGAAGGTCACGGGCGTGTTCATGCAGACGGAGATGACGCTGATGATGGCGCACAAGCGCAGCAGAGAATGCACCCACTGCAAGAGCGGCGGGAGGGGTTACTGCGCGCCTGGAAGCTGCGCGGACAGATCACACTGCTCCCCAGAATGAGATAAGGAAAGACAAAAATGCAAAGCGAAGGCAGCGGAGTGCCGCGATGGGCTAAACATGTTCTTACTATTCCCGCAGTTTAGTTCTGCGGTTTAGTTCACTAGGTCCAGGCAGGCTGGCCACTTTTCTGCACCAGCATTAGAAGGACCAACACTCGGACCTGAGCCTCTACATCAAGCACATGTTCCTGGGAGCCTTCCTATGTCTGCAACAATGGAGATCCCGATGCCATTCAAATGTGTCCTTCCTCGTGTAGGAAGCTGATGTGCTATTCTACACTTTGTAATATGCTCTGAGCATCTAGAATCAGGGGCCAGATTATATTTACTGAAATTTCCCTGATATCAATCGTATGGGCAAGCCTGGAGCACAAGAAATGCTTATTACAAGGAATTTTATCCTTTTTGATCACTGAGTAATATTCCACTGCATAAGTTTACCACACAGGGACAGCAACTAAGGGAGAAAAAACAAGTAATGTCCCCAAATTTACAACAGTTTAAGAAAAATAGTTAATTTAAAAAAAAAGAGAAAAATTTAAAATGCTTTCTATTGTACCTGACATGTAACATCCTTGTATAAACGTATTTTAAAATATGAACTCATCTTTCATTTTCTAAAGATAGTAAAGGGACTTCATTTTTATTTTGCGGAACATGTTTTATTCACATTTAGCCCAGGCAGACCTTCCATAATTATAAAATAGGAGTTTCTGAGCAATTCTAGAAACACACAATATGTGTGAGGATTTTTTTCCTTAGCCCCAACTAACATGTAAGAATTAAAGGTAAATGTGTGTATGTGTATCTGGACATAGATGTGTCTATGTACAAAACACAATTATCCATATACAGTATCTTATAATAAAAAATTACTTGAATCTAGTTAATTCACTAACATCCAATTTGCAATCATAATTTAAATATGCCATTTATTGGTTATCCTGGATATATACAAAGACTTGTTACTCCTTCAGTGTTACACGCCTCTCAAAAAAAGTATGTTTCGTTTCACACTAGATGGACCGCTAGCTTGCCAAGCTAGCAAGCACCCAAGATGAAAAACAGAAAAACAAACAAACAAAAAACCAAAATGGCTAGAACTTTGCAGAGATTCAGAACCTTGTAGGCTGGTGAGTGGGTAGCAATATTAATCTGACATATTTTCATGCAGACAAAATGCCCCTAAATCCATACCCTATAAGTCATGGGTAATTAACTTTAATTCAAGGCTTGCTGTATTCTCCATGCAATTTGGAAGCACGTCAATAAACATCCGCGTGTGAAGTGGGCCCATCTGGACCTCCAACACTAAGGCTCTAATTACACGAAAGAGCTTCAGAAGATGAGTTCCTCCACAACAAATCTGCTCTGAATCTAGAGAAAGAATTCTAATTAATCCTTAATCACTTCAGTCGGCACCTCCGAGGCACCAATTCTGGTGTCTCAGAAGCTCTGGGAAAGCGCCGTCCATAGTGAACACTAAGGGCCGCTGGAGGGTCTGAATCTGTTCCTTCAGCTCCCAGTGGGGCGACTGAGCCAGGCCCCCAGTGACGCAGGGCTCTGAGGACATGGCAATGGGAAACCCGGGCGACTCACAGCCATGTGACATGCACTGCCTGACACAGCTGTATTTCCACGTGGCCCCTTTACCTGATTATAACATGGAAGAATTAAAAGTGAGCATCTAGGCCAGGGGAGAAAATATCAACAATAACGAACAACTATATACCAGAGACATTTTATGGGGGTGGAGTGGGGAATGGGATAAAAAATGGTGGGGGTGGGGGGAAGTGCACAGGACTATGGTGATGTCACACGGGTCATTTGGTGATGGGAAGCCCACGGGGATTACAACGGAGGTGGGAAAAGGCACAACATGATGTAAAAATAAACTATTATATTATAAAGTAAAATAAGTGAGTGTGCATGCAGTACGCACCACACAGGTGATACAAATACCGAATAAGTGGCAACAGAACAGGTTCACTGTTTCCTGTGATCAAATAAGGAAACTTCCAGAATGGGGGGGGCTGGGGTGACATTGGAGCAGCAGTGACAGAGGAAGAATTGACTCATCAAGGGAGACGGGCTGGGGAGTGCCCCAAGGGAGTGGTAGCTGGGGGCAGCGCGCCGTGATGAGGGTCGGGGGGACACAGATGTGGAGATCCCAGAAAGGGGCACCTGCCTGAAAATTCAGAGCCAGAGTGTAAGAGCCTGGTGTCATACTGATGCATTTCAATTTGCAGTGCAGACTACAGCGATGCTTCAGCAACTAAGGCAGGAGGATGGCGGGATCAGATTTGGAATCGCAGGAGGGAGAGTAGTCTGGAGGAAGAGAGGAAGGGCCACTGGAAAGGGCCGGAGACCGGGCATCACCTTGCCCAAGGTCAAGGACGAGTCAAGCTCTGGGGAGGAATGGCCCCTTTCTTCAAGTCAGGTGTGCGCCAGGCTGCTCTGGGGTGCAGAGTGGACTTTGGACGGTGCCATGAACGTGCCGAGCCGCCCAGGCCGCCAGGCTGGTTACAAAGACCAGGAGCGCAGACCCCATCAGATTCCCACTCACTGAACTCAGCAGCAGGGTAGACAAGTTCTTCAATGACCTACCCGCTATGTTATTGACCCTTCCTTTTACTCAACACTTGCAACTTCAGAGACCTTAAATTCCAAACACTTGAGTACCTCTGGCATTTTCATACATGCAGAGAACTAGAAGTAAACATTTGCAAGAATAGACTCCTCATCTTGGATGCCAGCTTTGCATCAGCCTGAGAGGTGGCATTCTTCTGTCTACTCTGTATGATGCAGATATTAGTGCATAGACTTGGAGGGAGAAGACCACACCCCCCTCCCCATCCCACCCCCCACATCTTTCTTCTCCAGTAACTCAGAGGAGAGCTCTGATATTTCATCTGAATTATTTTCAACTTCCAGACTCCAAGAATGCTCTATCTATTGAGCCCCAACAGATGTCTCGAAGCCAACGATACAGGATTTTTGAGTTCAATGGATTAAATTTCTTTTAGGCAAGCCTTCCAAGAAGAAACTTACTGGTTTGTTAATCCAGAGGATGTCTGCACTGTCCGACAGGGACTCGTCAGGCCCAAAGTCAGTGACGGGTTGGGCTTCCACCCTGGAGCTCTGCTTCCTCTTCAGCATGCTGGAGTTAGCTCCGGTGAGCAAGCTCAAAGGCACAGTCTGGGTAGGGAGAGAGGGTGGATTAGCCGCTGAAGCTACCTTTGCCCTCATCTCAAAAACGGAGCCCCCAAAATGCAAGGCACTTGCCAGCCACACACATCCCGTCTGTTGCAGGTAATAAATACATGCCGATAGTTTTTAAAGGATGAGATAAAAATCAGTGACAATAATAGCTTGGATCCCCTCAATCCTACCCACTTCCTCGTAAGCGGCCTGCATGCCAGTATAGAGCCCCGTGTCTAGAGGAACTGGGGAGAAACAGCCTTACTGCTCAGGGTGAACACAGGGAATTAGAATTTTCGAGGTACATGTTCACATGCCCAGACCTGCCTCCACTCACAGGACGCCCGAGTCAGAATGTAGCTGGCCACGCCGGAAGAAGTGCTCGAATCTCCCCAAAATTGCCCTGGGTTCACTGCACAGGACACTCAGAGACATTCCTCTTTCCCAAGTTGATCTCCCATTGCCATCCTTCCACCCACAATAGAGAGAAGACTCAAGGACACAACTGCACTCAAGGTCAGTGCCAAAGTGAGGAAGGCGCTCCTCCTCTCCAGAGCTTGTCTCGTGCTTTACTCTGGCCACGGTGATGCCTGGTCTCCTGTCCTTTCCAGTGGCCCTTCCTCTCCTCTGCCTCCAGACCACTCTGCTTGACTCCTTCCTGCCTTTCCATTTCCTTCCACATCACTCTCCTGCTTCAGTCATGAAGCATCCCTGTTATCTCCAGTGCAAACTGAAATGTGTTAGTTTGATGCCCAAGCTTCTTTCAATGTAGCTCTGACTCTTCAGACAAGTGCCTCTTCCCTGGATCTCTACGCCTGTTTCTCTCCTTGAGTCTCATCAGTGTGATCCCACCATCCGAGATGAAGGGAGCTAGAGAGAAGGTGCAGGACCACCTCTAAATGGAGTTTATTTTCCTTTTGTGGATGCTGTGGTTCTGTCTCTTTATCCAGTGACTCTGAAGTAAATTCAGAGATGAGATGCCTGCTTGCCACTTAAATGCCCACAATTGTGAGTCATCTCCTTCCTGAGGTACCAGTCACCTACCGGTGCCCAAAGCTACCACCTCCCGCCAACCAACAGCCCTTGAAGAAGGGCTGCAATGGGTCGGACTGCCAGAACACAAGCAGTAAGCGAGTGTAGCTTAATAGGAGATGCTAGAAAGGTGCCTCCTCACCCTGGGTCCACAGAGAGACTTCTCACTTGTACTGGCTCTTAAAGAAAGCAGAGATGCTCACTGCTGGGGTATATACTATTTGGGGGACATTTAGCAGTGATAAATCAGTTAAGCCTGCCAAGAGGGAGAAGCAGCCGCTTGTCTTTTATGCAAGCACGAGAATCACATTCTCCGAGCAGTAAATAACCTGCCATGTAAAGGAGGCCTGGTCTGATGGCAAAGCCTAAGGTTTTGACTTGGCCCCTGCAGACGACGAGGCAGGGGAAGGAGGGGAGTGTCCTCCATGCTCACAGGCGTGGACAAGCTACATCACGAAGATGTGGACACTTCAGCACCAGGCGTGAGCTCTCCTCTCCTATCTGCTCTCCTTGGATCTCTCTGGGTGCACATGGCTGCAGTTCCCACAGGAAAAGGGAGTAACACACTAGCTCGGCACAGGCTCGTGCTGAATCCAATCCCTCTTCCATCTGTGCTAACACACCCTCCTCTTCCCTGAGGAAATCAGGCTAATTGGCTTTAAGATGTGCTAGGTATGTCCAGGCTGCTTTGCCCTGGATATTGGATTTGAATACGGGCTTTGCAGTAGGCTGCGCTAATTAATTTTATTTTACATAATTGCAGTGAGGGACTCTTGACATCGATATGTAGATAGATGCAGAATATTCAAATGATGCTCGTTGTCTGACTTACTGTGGGGGAACACCTGGTGGCCTCAATTTGGGAAGCCTTTTGGATGACAGACTCCTACGTATCTGAAAACTGATAACGAATGTTTAGAAATCCTTCAAGATCACACAGCTAACTCAAAGGAGGGAACAGAGTGGCTCCACAATGTTGTTCTAGATCACACCAGAGAATGTTATGACCCACCAGCGAGAAGACCATGTCCAGTGAGTCAATGGAGACTTCTCCGTGGCCATTTAGTGCTCTTAGGATCTGGTACAGTCCGAAAATTTTTGAAGTATAAATATGAACTTTTGCACATGAATTCCACAAACCTTTTAATACAAATGTGTATGTAAGTAAGCAGATATTAATTTGAATCCAAACCACTTTTGGTTTGCATTATGGATTGGCTTATGTACAGAAGTAGACATCGGATTCCCTTTCTCATAAATCTCCATGCTGACTAGCAACACTACAATTATAATGAATGACATGAGTTTTTACACATTGTGGTACTGTGACTTGTAATAGTATGTATTTAGTCTTAGTTCTTGTTTCTGCCATAAAGCTCCTAAAACCCTTGAAATTTTCTCTAGCTATTGAGGGCATTAAGTTTCTCCTGTTACGTTCTTGGGTCCTTTGCACCCCACTTAAGTTGTTCACTGCTTGTCAGCAGAAACAACCAGGTGATTAGCAGTTTGGAATTTTCAGTTCCACTCCCTGGCCCTGGAGTCAACACTCATGTCCCCGAAGCAGCCATAAAATGCCCAAAGTAAAAGGAGCAGGTCTGAGCACTCGTGGTTGACACGCATGTCCCCTGCCCACTGCAGCTCTTCCAGCTGGATGCTCCTGAGTTAGAGCCTTTTCATGATAAACAAGTAATGCAGTGATTTAACTGTTTCTCCAAATTCTGTGAACCACTCTAGCAAATCAATGGAATGAGAAGGGGACCCTGGGATCGTCTGGCTCACGACTAGCTGATCGGAACTACAAGAATAGCCACTGGCATCTGAACCCAAGGAGAAGGACCATCAGAAGCCCAATCTAGAGCCGCCGGCCAGAGGCACAGGTAACTGGCAGCTGGGGGGAGGGGGGGTGATCTTGTAACATGGAGCCCATAACCCAGGGAATCCGATACTGTTCCCTGAGAGGCAGCATCGGAATTGAGTTATAGGACACCCAGCCAATGTCAGAGAGAACTGCTTGTTGGTGTGGGGATCCCCAAAACACATATTGGAATTGAGGTCTAAGCACTTTTAACCACATTCACCCTACTCACCTGCTGTCAAGTCCCTAAACCAAATGATGCCCAAGAAAAATGCTCTACCTCGGACAGAACCTAGTCATGCACCAGATAATAAACAACCAGCTCCTGAATCCTTGGTGTTCCGCCTGATTTTAAAATATTAAGTCTTGTACAAAACATTCAAGTGGTAATATAAGTTCAAGTCATAAACACAGGAAGAGCCCCAAACTCACGTGAGGCTGTGGACTGTAATAACCCTCCTTATCACAGAAGTGTTTGCCACATTCAGGCATTCGTGTTGGATCGATAAAACAGTGGCCAGACCTATCGTTCCCCTGATAAAGCCTCAGCGATATTTATGTTTCCTAGGTGAGCTTATTAATTTGATAGGAAATTGCTTCTGTGTATCTTTGTCTGTCCACTGTTAGATATTTTTAACCTAATGTTTTTGTTTGTTTGTTTATAGAAGTATCTTTCCTTAGGTGGAACACGGAACACTGAATTTGAAAAATATGGCTTTTGGGCACTTATTAAAAATAGTTGGTGTTGAAGTAGCTCAGCAGTAGGAGACAGCTTCCAGTGGGTTCACTGTTCACCTTTGCTGAGAAACAGCTAATGGCGCCTCAGGAGGAGGACAGAGGTCGGCTCACTGTCCTCTTGCAATGGTTCAAATCCAGCTCTGTGTTCTGGGATGGCAACATCCTACTTCTATTGGGGATCTGCTCTTTCCTTTCACCATTCCAACCCGTTCTCGATAAAATGAACAGGAACATTGTTTTCTTTAACTGTCAGGAGCTTGCACTCCCGAAGCTCGTCTCTTCCTGTGGCTCTCCTGGGTTTGCACTGCAACTGCACTCCCCAGCCCCTGTCCTCCGAATGATGTTGCTGCCTGTGTATGTCCCGGGCCTCCTCTTGGTTCATGTCCCCATGTGTGGCGGCCCGGCGATTACGTCCGCAGCGACTGAGTCTTTACCATCCCCTGTGTTCACCGACGTTCTTCAATGTGCAAGGCCTTGCCGGGTAAACAGATGTAAACACAGCTTTCTACATTGAGGCCAAATTCATAGCTGAGGAAGGCCCCCCTTGTATTCTGGGAGAGAGTGGGCTTGAGGTTATCAGTATTTTAGCTGACCTCTATCATATTCGTTCTTATTTCAAGTATTTCTCCTCTCTTTTTCAAATGGCCCAGAGCTCAAAACAGTAAACCCTCAATATCTACATTCAAACAAGAGTCCTGAATGCGTATTGCCACGGGCATATGTAAATCCTCAGGTGTCCTTCAGCATCACACCAACATAGTGAAGAGGAAGGGGCTGGTTATTCCTAATCTGGAAACTGCCAACTGTCGTTATTTCTGTAAAGTTAGACTGTCCATTCCGTCTTGTCAACTTTCCTTCTCATCAAAAGACATGTCTGTTCAGAACAGACGAATAGAGCCCCACAGGTTTTATGCCTTGGGTTTTTTTAATGCACTATTCTTCTTATTTTCTGCTCTTCAGCTCCACCTCATCCTCACCTGCCCTTCCACCATCTCCCAGGGTGCAGCCGCCTCAGCGCCTTTGGTGAATCATCTCTCTGTCCAGCAGGCACCTCTTAACTCATCTCTAAAGGCTGAAACTCCCCTCCTTTCCTCCTTCATTTTTGTCTTGTGCGCGGGGCCCAAAGATGTGTCCTCCTCTGGTCACCCGGCTCTTCCTTCCATGCCTCCCCTACGACAGCCCCCATGCTCACCTAGCACAGGATTCTTTCCCTTGGGTTTCCAGAACCCCAGCAGTCACCACTGGGGTACCAATAATTGCATCTTGTGAATAGATCAAGAAGATGTGTTATATCTACACAATGGAATATTACTCAGCAATCAAAAAGATAAACTCATACCATTTGCAGCAATATAGATGAAGCAAGACG